TTGCAAATGGATCTGATTCAGATCCATTTGTAGGACGTTATGTGGTGGTAATGCTAAGTACCATGTGTTTCTTTTAAACTTTCATCACACTGGCCGAAGCCAATTACAAAAGTATATGAATAACCCATCCCAGTATGTTGATGAGGTACGATTTTCCCCCAACACCCAAAACAGTTCAAGTTTACTTTGTAAACAAGCTGAATTCAAATGCAAAAGTTTACCATTTTAAAGTATTCAAAATTGTTATTTAAAAGCATGGCGAGGCTCCTTCATGCCTTGAACTGGTATATTTTACAAAAACAATAACATCACTATTTTCTTAGATGTTTTTTTTTTCTTTTTTCCTCCATTTATACTCTGGTGACCTATTTGCAGTTTTCTGTGATATATCACATGTTTATTATTCTTAAAATCACAGTAAATGTTGAGACAAATTGTCTCTAAAAATAAAAAAAAACAAAATAAGTACAAAATAAACATTTGACTGCTCTTTGTGATAACCGGTCATTAGGCTTACGGACAACAGATTCAATTTTATCATATTCCGCACTTTTATGATATATGTGTGTTCCTTTAGTAGTTTGATGTTCCAACTGGAACTTAAGAGAGGGGCACCCGAAGTATGTCTGCCTAACTGCAGTTGCTAGAAGCAGGGATTTGTGGGCATTCGTCAGCACTAAGTGGAAGTGACAGTATGGAGAGAGGTCCTAATTACTGTCTCACTTGACTAATTGTCGTCTCTGAAGAATGTATTCCCACTGAGGTCCCTGGGATTTTTTGAGAGCTCTGCTCAAGATATACAGACCTTCCCCACACTGTGTTCAAAAGCATTTCCACAAATGGTAAATGTAACTACACCAAACTCAGAACTGCTAGAGTGAGGCACAAACACTGCACTGCATTTGCTCTGAGACATACAGGGATAGCACAGCAAGAAGAAGGAACAGGGTTCTACATTTTGTATGTGTGAAGAACGTGCATGCATTTCTGTTGGGTCTTGCCAATGTGTTAAAACATCCTTAGCCACAGTCATCTTGACAAGATGTAATGAATCCATCTGTGGCCTTCACAAGCCAAGGATGTTAAAATAACCTGTGGCATTCAAAATAATGCAGCAGACATGGCCCTTTAGTGCAGGCGCAACACAACTGAATGAATCTCTTCTTTTTCAGGGTCTTACCATTCAAAGTGCATCAGCTTTTCGTTTCCATGGTTTCCTTCTCTGTGCCAGTGCTATCTATCCACCAGTCTGCCTGTGTAAGAGAGCGAGGGAGGGAGTGTAGTGCAGTCAGAAGGGGAGAGAACGCTTTTTGCAGTGGTTATCTCTTCTTTGCATAAAGAGCCTTTGCATTAACTGCTCTGTGAATGGAGTTGGAATAAACGCACCAGCCAGTTCACACAGATGTCTCTATGGGTTACAAGTGAGTGTATGAACTCTTCTAATTTGTGCTCTCCTCCAAAAATGACAGTGGATGCAAATAAAAGATCATCTGTCAAATGGCACAGGGGTATTTTCCTATTAGCAACAACAAACTAGAGGAGCGGGATTCAGTTCCGTATTACTATGTGGCAGTCTGCCATTCCCACATCTCCCTGTTGTCTAGCCAGGTTACACAGAGTTGTTACATATTTATTGGCTTTAGTAGAAAGAAAACGTTTGGAGTTTATGACTGGTAATAAAGATCTTCTTTTCATGTCTGATGGCATCTTTCTGACCCACATCCAAAATCACACTCTGCAGTAAGGTGGAAGTACAAAAATGTACTTTCAATATATAAAGAGAAGTTAATAACTGAAGGAATTTCTTTCTGGAACAAGTTCAGGATTTGTCTGGCGGAAGAGAGACAGGTTAGCAGCAGGTTTAGAGATGCTTTTGACAGTGGATTGTTTCTTTGAGGGGAAACAGGCTTACATTTTCTTAGAATTGCAGGTGGAAGAAGCGGTGAGAGGGATCTGGGAGAAGGAGATTGATGTACTTGAGATGGGTCTTTGAGGTTCGAGAACTGACCAGAGGGGAGCAAGCAGGCAGATGGGAGCTGCAGAAAACAATGTGGATCAGGTTCGTTCCAAACAGGTTCTTGCTTGACAGCATGCAGGTGGCTGAACATGATCTGAGATGGGAGAGAAAGGTATGTATGGCTGGAGATGAATCTTAGCTTGATCTTCACAAAAACACTGAGTTACTCAAAACAAGAATCAATCAACAGATCAATTCTGACAGGTGAGAAACAACAGTGACGGATAATCAACCAGCTAGTGGTTGTGTTGCACATCAGTGGCCGTACTACAATCAGGGCTGCTCACCAGCAGGGATATAACTATAAGGAAGATAATCACACACACCCAAATCCTGATATTACCCCATCACCAAAGGCTGCCACCTGGTGGCCCAGACAAGCATGACAAGCAAAAAGTCTCAAAGTCACAGCTCTACTGGGGATCCAGGATGATCCCTAGTTGAAAAACCCAGAACAGCTCCTTGGGACCGGAACCCTCTTAGTCAAATTAGTACAGGATGCCCCTCCCATGGCACTGGACATCCATTATCCATTTGATTGAGAAAGCAGGGATGTCTCGAGCGGGTGAAAGGACTTCATACCACAGGTTTGATCAAAGACACATGAAATACCAGGTGGCTCAATAGACACTCAGGAGGCTTCAGACAAAAAGAGCTGGGGCTCAGGACAGAGATTATCTCAAAGGGACCAATGAATCTGGGGGAAATTTTCTCATTAAAATACTTGAGAGTTATGTCTCTGGTGGAAAGTCATATCTTTTGTCCCGGAGGGAATTGAGGTGCTGGAAGTCTCTTCTGGTTGGCCAGGTGGAGGTTTTGAGCTGCAGAGAGGTGGAGAGCAGTGATGATCTACTAGATGCACCTGCATCGCCAAAGGTGATGTTGGACAGAGGTAACAGAAAGTTTCCAGTTATTTGAAGAAAAATGTGTAGACTGATAAAGGAAATTCAAAAGGAGACAACCCTGTGCCAGATGAAGCATGACTGTTATTCTATCAGGATAACTCTGTGCTCTTCGTGGCAGGATCAGATGAACATACACAAGGAAGGGTGGCCTCACCCGTTCTGTTTGGTAATAGGTTCAAGGATAAAATCCAGAACTGAGAGGTACTCTGGCTGCAAGAGCAGTAGTAAACTGATCCAAGAGATGAACGGTGGGGGGTTCCTCACTCTGATAAAATCTCTTGTGGCAGCCTGTGAAGATAGAAAACGTTTTACAAGGAGCTGAGCTGTTTCGAGAGATTGTGAGAGATTCTTTAATAGAATGAGATGACAAACCTTACATGAGCAATCTATTATAGCTAAACAGAGATGAGTCCCCCTGGAGAATGGTACATCATTGACATATGTGACCATGGATATGACAGACAAGTACATAGCTCTTTACATCAGGCGTCAATGAATGAGTCTGGACCTTACAGCAGAAGGAACATTGAGCTGATTGGATGGCCCGGCCCCATGTTCTGACTCCAAACGCTTCAAAACTTAGTGTCTATGGATTCCATGAAAGGGCTACCATGAGAAATGACGTGGGATGACAGAGGCCCTTGTTGGTTCATTATCTGGAGAAAATTGTCAAGAAAGAGCAACCCAGCCCGTAAGACATTATAAAATTTAAACAGAAGAAGAAAAGTGATCATGGTGACTGGCTTTGTTTGAGACTATTAGCCTCCCAGCCAGCACACCTAGGTGGGCCCATATGGGATATAAGTGGGCAGGCAATATGGGTCCCAAAAGGGTTTGTCCACGGTTTCCATGGTGGCCCCACATGGGTTTGCCCAAGTAGATTTTAATGGGTGCTAACTGGGTTTTCAGTGGGTCCACATGGTTAACTCACATGAGGCCCATCTGTGGCCCACTAGGGTGCTGTCAAGAATATTTACGTGGGTCCCAATTGGGTCTGAACTGGGCTAGAATATGGGTAACAAGTGGGTTTGTCCACGGTTTCCATGGTGGCCCCACATGGGTTTGCCCAAGTAAATTTTTATGGGTGCTAACTGGGTTTTCAGTGGGGCCCATGTGGTTAACTCACATGAGGCCCATCTGTGGCCCACTAGGGTGCTGTCAGGAATATTTACCTGGGTCCCAATTGGGTCTGAACTGGGCTAGAATATGGGTACCAAGTGGGTTTGTCCACGGTTTCCATGGTGGCCCCACATGGGTTTGCCCAGGTTGATTTCAATGGGTGCGCACTGGGTTTTGAGTGGGTCCCACATGGTTAACTCACATGAGGCTCATGTGGCCCACTAGGGTGCTGTCAGGAAATTTACCTGGGTCCCAATTGGGTCTGAACTGGGCTAGAATATGGGTACCAAGTGGGTTTGTCCACGGTTTCCATGGTGGCCCCACATGGGTTTGCCCAGGTTGATTTCAATGGTGCTGACTGGGTTTTGAGTGGGTCCCACATGGTTAACTCACATGAGGCTCATCTGTGGCCCACTAGGGTGCTGTCAGGAATATTTACCTGGGTCCCAATTGGGTCTGAACTGGGCTAGAATATGGGTACAAGTGGGTTTGTCCACGGTTTCCATGGTGGCCCCACATGGGTTTGCCCAGGTTGATTTCAATGGGTGCTAACTGGGCTTTCAGTGGGTCCCAGATGCCTTAATCCTGTAGGAACAATTCTCATCTAACCTGGATGTGAATTACATTCATAGATATGCAATCTTGATCAACAATCCAAAGTCTAGCTTAAAACGTGTTCAAAAAAAAAAAAAAAAAGAGATGAAAAATTTATTTTGCTCAAGGCTTTTATTTAGTAATTAAAATATTGTCAGGAGTTATTTTTTACCTCACTACAGCAATTATTAGAACTTCATTAATACTCAGGGAATGGTGGCACAAAAAGAAATCTGCAATTATTCACGACATCTTTGAAAATAACAGAAGCTAGTTTACTATAACAAACTTATAAACAGATCTATAAATATATATCTATAGATGCACACAAATAAAGACACCTACATATTTCCTACAGGTCTATAAATGTATACATCTAAATACTATCTATATAACTTTATACACGTATATTCACATTGATACACACAATGTGAATATACACACCTATATAGATCTTTCACAATACATTTTTGTTAAACATTTTTAAAATAACCTACATGCCATATGCATGCTTAAATTTGAAATCTCTCATACTTTACTGAAACTGTCCATCTTGAAAGACCTCCCCAACCTGAGTTTGAACTGGCAGTCTCTCTAGTCTATTTCCACTTCCACTCGGGCTCCAGTAAACCACTTCGAGAGTCTTTGCTGTATGCTTGTGTGATTCTGTAGATGGATAATTTCTTTTAAGTCCCCTGAAATAACAAGCAAAGGTAGAAATTGTATTAGTGTTTCATTTTAGCACAATGTAACATTCATGAGATTTGCATCTCCCCCTTCATGGGGCAAAAATGCTTGCAGAGATATGCCATAATCAAAAGGACTCTTGAGTCATCATTATTATGTACAGAAACTATATTCTTACTGTAAATTTAAAATATATCCATCTATATAAATCAACTACTAGCATAGGAAAGGTTCTATTGTGGTTTTGTGGTTATTTTAATATTGTTTGAAATGCAAACAATATTACCTTCAAATTTTTAAGTTCTTAACAACAGTGAAAGAATACTGTTCAAATAAAACCAAAAATTGAAGACTCAATTTTTAACCTAAAAACATTACTAAAAATAACAAACAAAAGAATAAAACAACCAAAATAAATTAACATATGTTTAAGAAAGAAAAGTGAAAAAAAAAAGTTACTCTGACAATAAAAACTGATATTTACCATCAAAGAGACGCAGGTCCAAGAGCTTGTTTCCAATGTTGGCCAAAAAGGTTGAACTGGACTTCCAGTTCATGGGACATGAGGAATCGCACAGCTGGTTGTATTGTGTCATCTAAGGATGCTCCTCCAATTTCTGTAGCCATGGCAACCTTAAGTACAATGAAATAACAGGACAACATTTTGTTTTTGTTCATCAGTTTGTCATTATATCACTCTTATGTGCTTAATTTTACTAACATATTAATCTACCTTTTTCAAATCATTATAAAGTGATCTTCACACGCTGATCCTCTTGAAGCCTGCAAAAATATATCTTTTATTAGTGCAATATAACATTTAGACTTTTCAAAAAAATAAAAAAATTAAGGCAAAACAGCCTTTGTATGGATTAACTACTGAAGCCTTATATTGTAAACACTGAACAGTTTTGCAATTATCCTAATTTCTTTGTTAACGTGACAGGACTAAGACAGTAGTATTACTCTTAAGAGAAGTTTAGAAAATCACTATAAATGTAACTAATAAAGCCTAAAACATTGTACATATAAAAAAATTAGAGCTACAATTAAATATAAGTACATTTCACATAACTGCTAGCTAAATATTGCAAAAATATCAAAAAGAATTTCTTCATCTTTCAATATTTGTTTCAGGCTTGGCCACTGATTGACATGATGGGTTTCAATTTACGGACCCACATGCAGTAACCACACGTTGGATAGGGATGAGTGAGTGATTTATTTACAACAGGACAAAATAAAATCTATTTCCCGGACATCAGCGGAAGGGTGAGGACCACTCGACCAGGTTGGCCTGAAACGAGAACTTAGTCATGACGGGCTTAGAATGAGTGATCGGAGGGGAAACAGGAACAGGCTTACTTCGTTGCGGGTCTTTCGAGGCGTGGGTGTGAGATGCCAGGTTCCTGAGAGAGGGTGTGCAGCGGTTCCGAAGGTAAATGCGAGGTGGGAATGGAAGAGAGCTGGAAGCTCGAAGGGTGGAGTGGAGGCAGTGGAATCGGCGGAGCGAGCAGGCAGGTATTCACTGGTGAGTTCTCGAATGAGGCGACAAAACCCCTAGGATCGAACAAACACAGAGACCAGGTGACTTCTAGTAGACACAGAAACGTTCTCAGAAAACTGTTCACAACAGGAGAGGCCAGAGTGACTACCGGTGTATGCAACCATCTAGCATACACAGTAGAATCTTCAGTCAATCTAGCGTAGACTGAAGATTCTGCTGCTCCTCCACCTGTGCCAAGCTCCACGGGCTCCTCACAAAGATCCTCGCTGAAATAAGATGCAACACTCACATACACACACAGGAACCCTGACACTGATGACTACTCTAGACCAACACAATAGCGGCAGATTGAAATAAACTCTGACATAACAAAACGCTTTAAAGTGTCACACAACAATTAAAAAAAGAATTTAAAAATATGAACTACAATGCCTTCATCCTATTTACAAAAAACCTTTTAGGCCCAATATACTGAAACACATGGGCCCCATATAGTGTTCCCATTTCTGTCCCATGCCCAGTTAGCCCACGTTAATGCTGAATTGGGCCCATACATTTAACCCAATTGAGCCAACAATATGAGTCCCATTTCGGTTAACCTTTTGAGCCTCACGCAGTTGGCCCAGATAAAACCCATGCCCTCTTATCATTACCTATATAGCCCAAAGCTAAACGATTCAATGCAGTTTTATTGAAAAAAACGACAATAATAATCTTGCATGGGTCCAGCCAAACCAGCCTGAATCCATACATGAGACCCACCCATGCATGCTGATGTGACTGTGAGAAAGATTATTAAAAGCCCAAGTACATAGAATGAAAGCACAATAGTTACTCTTTTTAAATCATACAAATGGTTTATTGTGTCCAGACACTTTGTAACAACCTCTGCTAGCAACATAGATTCTTCAGTGAACCGATTTCATTCTGCCTCGTTGGCGCTCAAATGAACCAATGGCAGCTCAACAAATAGAATGGCGGCGGTATTTGAAAATGGTTTGGCCCACAACGCTGCGTTTGAAATCGGTCTGCACTAAAATCTGCTTATTGTGTGTAGCTGTGTGTGTTAGCAATATCAGAAAAAGTATCACCCTAAAGAAAAGCAAAAATAACAATAACAATTAAGTCTCTTTTGGGATACTGTCGTCCGATTTGTTACGAGCAAACAATTTTTTTAACAAGCGATTTAAAATCTCTCCTAAAATTTGGTACTAGGTAAAACAGAAGAAATGTACTTACAGATTCTTTCGTAGATCAGCCAACAGGCAGACTCCGCGCCAACGGACTGATGAAGAGAACAGGCTTGATTTTGAAACCGCATATCCATCCGCGGGTCATTTTACGTTTTCCAAGAAACACAAGATTAATTTTTGAGAGTGCTACATCGGTTTAACAAATGTAAAACCGATGTAGCAAAAGTTCTCAATGTAAATAAATACATTTCGTTGTCCTCCTTATTCAAATATGTTTTGGAACTATTTTCTTCAGTGGATGTGTAAAGTGCCTACCGGTACTTCAATTCACCAACCTTTATTGGCAACGGTGCCTCAGAGCAAACAATGAACAAAAAGGTAATTGGAACCAAATAAATCATTAACAGAAATGTTACGTTTTTTTATTTTTTATTTTTATTTATACTGATGACTTGGAAAATGTTTGCAAATATATGAAAAAACAGATGCTCAAAATTTTACTCTTGTCTCTCACTTGCTAATGAGTTTTGTTTATTTTCTAAACATTTTGTGATATTTTTCACAATGGTCTGATCTGAACTATTTGTCCAAATAAAAATTTAAATCTTGCTGCGAACAGGCTGCAGTAAACTCTATGGATGTCTAAACATCCAATTGATAAAAAAATAATAATAAAAATAAAATAAAAAGTTATTATTATTAAAAATAAAACAAGGACTAAAGCTCAACCATGACCACTCTTGCTTAATTTTGAGTAAGCACCAGAATATGAGTTTACGTATATATTTCAAACAGATTATTTCAAAAAAATGTTTTAAGACATTCAGACTGCAATAATAAAATGAAAAAAAAGTTAGGGGTTCAAAGTGTAGCAAGAGCAATACTGAACTGGCTTTTGCTTTGACATACAGTGAAAAGTTTGAAAGTGACAGGGTAACCACATTGTCGATTAAAATGTTCTACAATTTTGTCCCATTTAGACCATGAAAAAAAGTACTAGGGGCTACATTTTCCTGCCCAGGTCCAACCCATGTATGGTTAGCCCATGCTCATGTCATGTTAGTTTAATGTGGACAGCCCACATTGGGCTTCTCATGTGGGGCCCATGATACTGAAACCACATGGGCCCCAAATAGTGTTGCCCATTTCTGTCCCATTTCCAGTTAGCCCACATTGTTGCTGAATAGGGCCCATACATTTAGCCCAAATGGGCCAGCCCATAGGGGTCCCATTTTAGTTAACCATATGTGTCCCATGAGGTTTGCCCAGATAAAACCCATGACCACTCATTACCCATATGGCCTACTACAAACCCAAGGGGGGCCCACTCATGCGTACTGGCTTGGAGACTGGACTGGACTGTTCTAGCATAAAATAATAACATGAAAAAATGTTAAGGGTTCAAAGTGTGGCTAGAGCAATACTGAACTGGTTTAAAAAAATAAAGCATTGTAGAATTATTTTAAATGTTTTAATATCCTGGTCCTCTGGAAGCCTAGTGTTTGTAAATGAGCCAGGCATAGATATCACACAGTGAACATGTTTTAGGTTCAAACATTAGGAAGACATGGATGTTCTGTTCTATCAGCAAAATATATCCTTGGGTGATCTCCAAGACGAGGTCACCTTCGTCCTGGAGACCTCGACAATGGTCAAGGTCACCAACCTTTACTATCGTCGAGGTTTCCTACAAGGAAAAAATTAAATTCTACAATTTACCTTACATCAACTCCATTAGAGGCCAGCTGAGTAACAATTGCCTTGGCAAAGTCTATAAAGCTGACATCTCGGGTAATTCTTTCCAAGTTTTGAGAATCTTGCTCTTGCAGCTTTTGCTTTGACATACAGTCAAAATTTTGAAAGTGACAGGTTAACTACAGGGGTTGGACAATGAAACTGAAACACCTGGTTTTAGACCACAATAACTTATTAGCGTGGTGTAGGGCCTCCTTTTGAGGCCAATACAGCATCAATTCGTCTTGGACAAGTATGGGGCCAAGGGAATGCCATGATATGGCAGCCCACACCATCAATGATCCACCCCCATGCTTCACTCTGGCATACAACACTCTGGCTGGAATGCATTTGGGGCTTCTCCACACCGTAACTCTCCCGGATGTGGGGAAAACAGTAAAGGTAGACTCATCAGAGAACAATACATGTTTCACATTGTCCACAGCACAAGATTTTCGCTCCTTGCACCATTGAAACCGACGTTTGGCATTGATACGAGTGACCAAAAGTTTGGCTATAGCAGCCCGGCTGTGTATATTGACCAATGTGTGGAGCTCCCGACGGACAGTTTTGGTGGAAACAGGAGAGTTGAGGTGCACATTTAATTCTACCGTGATTTGGGCACCGTGGTTTTATGTTTTTGGGATACAATCCGGGTTAGCACCCAAACATCTCTTTGAGACAGCTTCGTCTTGCATCCCAGTTAATCCTGTTAGATGTGGTTCGTCATTCTTGGTGGTATGCTGACATTACCCTGGATACTGTGGCTCTTGATAATCACAAAGACTTGCTGTCTTGGTGAACAATTTGCACTCTTTTGAACTCCAGTATGTCCCAAATAATGTTATGTGCATTGCATTTTGAGCAAAACTGTGCTCTTACCCTGCTAATTGGACCTTCACACTCTGCTCTTACTGTTGCAATGTGCAATTCATGAAGATTGGCCACCAGGCTAGTCCAATTCAGGTATGAAACCTCCCACACTAAAATGAGAGGTGTTTCAGTTTCATTGTCCAACCCTGTACATTGTTCTACAATTTTGTCTCATTTAGCCCACTTAAAAAAAAGGACTGGGGTCTACATATCCACCCAGGTCCAACCAGGGCGTGGATATGTACTGACCACACTGAACCCACAGTGGGTTCAGTGTGGTCAGCCCACATGGTCCCCATGTTGGGCCCATGACATGAGCCCAGGCTCATGTCATGTGGGTTCAGTGTGGTCAGCCCACATGGTCTCCCCATGTTGGGCCCATGATACTGAAACACATGGGCCCCACATAGTTTTGCCCAGTTCTATCCCATTCCCAGTTAGCCCACTTAAAAAAGGACTGGGGCCTACATATCCACACCCAGGTCTAACCCATATATGGTCAGCCCATGCTGATGTCATGTGGGTTCAATGTGGTCTGCCCACATGGGCTTCCCATGTTGGGCCCATGATACTGAAACCACATGGGCCCCATATACTGTTGCCCAGTTCTATCCCATTCCCAGTTAGCCCACTTAAAAAAGGACTGGGGCCTACATATCCACACCCAGGTCTAACCCATATATGGTCAGCCCATGCTGATGTCATGTGGGTTCAATGTGGTCTGCCCACATGGGCTTCCCATGTTGGGCCCATGATACTGAAACCACATGGGCCACATACTGTTGCCCAGTACTATCCCATTCCCAGATAGCCCACTTAAAAAAGGACTGGGGCCTACATATCCACACCCAGGTCTAACCCATATATGGTCAGCCCATGCTGATGTCATGTGGGTTCAATGTGGTCAGCCCACATGGGCTTTCCATGTTGGGCCCATGATACTAGAACCACATGGGCCCCACATACTGTTGCCCAGTACTATCCCATTCCCAGATAGCCC